CACCAGGCCAGCACACAAGAGCAGAGTGGCCACTCTTCTCGCGTCCAGGTGAGGGGAACATCAACTGGTGGTCACGGCCTTCTGTAAGAATCTCACCCACTTTCTTTTTTTTTTTAATTTAAGAACTTCTAATTGCAAATAAAATGGACCCCGCTATCCAATGTTGATATAGAAATCTACTTATTTAAAAACACTATATGAGGGAGAGCAAGAGACTGGGAAGAAGGCAATGCAATGGATACACTAAAATCACTCCTTTTAAAGTGTGAGCATGAGAAAGGACCAGAACACAATTTCCAGGGAGATAATGAATAAATTCCGGGATCTATGCTCCAAAATGTGCTCAGTTCGCTTCTCAACTGCACTGTCCCAGCAGAAACATCCTCCACATCCAGGCAGAGGCCTCCCGGCTAGGCCCAGCAGCTCCTCCATCAAGAAGCCCTGTGCGAGTGCTAAGATCACCAACAGCCTTCCTGAGATCCAAGAGCACCATGCTCCCATCAAGTCCATCAAGTCAGAAACCTGCAGCAGCCCAGACAAGGACATACACCCTAGGCCATGTGGCCTGAAGGTCATCAGCAGAAGAGGCCAGCCATACTGTCCCAGGCAGGCATCATCCGGAAGAGGAGTAGGGGAAATGACGGGGCAAGAACCTGCTGCCAACCACAGGCCCTGTGGAGGCCCTGGAGCTGGTGCAGTGAGCTGCAGTCAGAGATACCTCAAGTCTCAGTTGACCTGCAGAACCAAGCTGGGTCAGTCCTCCTTGCCAAGAGCCATCTTGCCACAAATGCTGCGTGCACTCCACAGAGAAAACATGAATCCCATATTCTTAAGACAAGCAAAGGACCTTGGAGCTGCTAGAAACACAGAGAATCTGCTGGAAACGCACCTGACCTATCCTCTCAGAACAAGCAGTCAATAAAAAGTAAGGCTTTCCTTGGTAAGAGGGATGCAAATCAGACCCACATGCACAGCCAGGTGCAGATCTGAAGACAAGAAAGTATGCCTGGGGTCTCCATGCAGACAGCTCAGAGTATCAAACAGCACGGCCCTGTCATCATGGCCTTGGCCCTGTCATCACCGCCTTGCTGTAACATACAGACATCATTAAGCCTGTGCTGCACCTTAGACTGCTGGCCAGGACCTGTGCCCCTGGTCGCCACAGACCCACTGGCTTACCCTTGGCCTGCACCTCATCTGGGGAACCCCAAGGCTTGCAACTTAGGACTCCTGCTGTTAAAGCTGTGACTGGGCTGGGGAAGCAGCTCAGTTGTCGAGGTCCTGGGTTCCATCCCCAACGTGGCAGGAAGGCCTCAGAATATGACAACAGATAAATCACTTATTCAGCACCTGACTAAAGAGTTTTTAGAATGTCCATCAGGCCATAAAGGAAGTCTCAAAACCTCAAGACAGGACTTAAGAAAGCCACAATCT